TATTTTTTATTATTATTATTATTATTTGATTATTTTAATTTTTTTATCATTATTATTTAATTTTTTTTTTACACATACTTTAATGCAATTTAACATTGTATGCAGGGCCGGATTTTCCTCAAGGTGTTAAGTCGGGTTGAGGTAATTTGTGAGGTCAGGAACTCCGGGCCGGATTTCCCAAAAGGCCAACCAAGGCCTGGCCTCGGGGCAGCAGGGAGTAGAGGGGCAGCAGGGGTGTGGAATTCCTATCTCTCAATGCCCGGGACATACAGTTCCGGGCGCCGGGCGGGTAGTTTTTTCTACATTTAGCCCTTCTAATGTACAACAGGGAAGCCGCCGCTTGTTTTGTACAAGTGATCTCAGCAATGTTGTCGAGATCACTTGTATGCAGCCTGCAGGTCTGCCATTCTCCATGGGGAGAGGGGGGCATTGAGGAACATGGCCTTGGGGCAGCAGAGAGAGTACATCCGGCCCTGACTGTATGTCTCTGTCTCTAGCAAGTGTACCGGGAGAGAGACACAGTGCCATCTTCAAACAAGTAAGGTTTGTTTAAGAGCAAAACTTCTGATCACCAAAATTGTCTGTCATGCACAACACATAATCAGAAACCCCCCTGTTTGGTTCCTGATTAATAGTATGAGACCTTCAGCCATCAGTTATAGCATGGTCACAGAACTATAAGCATTTACAGATGCTCTCATGGTACCGGGAACAGTCTCTGATAAAAGTAACATACCGATTATGACCATCTTAGGGTTTATCTAAGCAAACAGTAACCAAAGATGTTATGGTTGCATTGGTGTCATGTTCTTTCATGCTCCCCTTAGCTCCCCAATGGGGCAGAAGGCCGACCATCAACAGTGGGGAAGCAAAAGGATCGAGTGGACCACAGGAAAACCATGATATCTGTGGTCCATGTTTGCATAGATACATCAACCCTTTTTTTGTGGTACCAGGGCTCTCTAAAAAGTATCTTGTGTCTGGTCCACTTTCCATGCCAAGCCCATGGGTATAGTTCTAGCCGACCTGTGACAATGAGACTGTCACAGGTCGGCTCAGTAGATCGGGAAGTGAGCGAACACATACCGGTGTACTGGTTTCCCCCCTCCGATCCTCCAGGGCTGACTGGCGGAACGGACGGGGGAGGGGGCGGGTACAGCTGGCTCTGCCTCTAGATAGGCAGAGCTAGCTGTCACTCATGCAGTTGGGCGGATCCAGACATAATTGTCAGGATCCGCATCAGCTGCGGCGTCTCAGTATACTGAACTTAGGGTGATGGGAGGATGTTAGTCTGTGTCCTCCCGTGTCCTCCCGTTACCCTGTGTCCTCACGTTACCCTTAGGAGAACTATGTGGAAAAGCCCTAACCCCATAGTTCTCCTTTAAAGCAATAAAGAAAAAGATACAAAGAAAAAAAATAAAAGAATGGCAGAAAGACGGTTGGGGGAGAGAACGGGGGAGAGAGAGACAAGGGAAGGAACCAAAGCCTACTTTTGTAGCTTGGTCACTAGTCTATGGATGTTCCAGAAGATGGACGTGTAGCACCTAAAGGAGCTGGCTATGCAATCTAAGTGGCACTTTACTTATTATTTGGTGCTCACAGCTCTGACTGAAATCTGATACGGTCTCCTTCCCACAAACAAATCTAAGTTAACCTAATGGAAATGCATTTGTGAAGGGAAGACAACGCCAAACCTATTAGACACAGCTTCATCTACACGGAGAGCTCAACTCTCTATTTTATTCATGTTTATGTTTGCAAAGGTCTCAAGTGTCTGCTATTATCATTCATCATCTCTAAATGTCTGTGTGTCCTCCCATCTACTGACCACCTGCAAGAGTTTAAGGTGGATCTTTGGGATAGTAAAAATTCTGGAGAATGTCGAAGAAACCTTGGGATGAGTGAGGTGCAATGCGCAGCAAAGGTTTGAGGTGTCTAAGCTGTGCTTTTCAATACCTTTGCCTATTCAACAATATGGTATCGTTTGAGCCTACCATCCTTCAACAGCTGCTTATAGAACTTCAATGCTTATTGATAACGGAAGCTGGAATAAACATTGTTCCAGCTCCGCAAGTGATAAACCTGTAATTACTATGAAACCATTCATGGTCCAGTTTTGCAGATCACCAAGGGCGCAACTACAGACCATGCGATTGCTAAGGGGGCCCGGAAGTGAAGAGGGGTCCAGAGCTGTCTGGCTACACAGTGATCACGGCAGGTAGCAATAGCTATGAATCCATATACTGTATATATATATATA